TTGCATTTTCTCTCTAGGGCAGTGAGGTAACAATAATGCACTTTTTTTTTTGGTTCAGTCTGTAGAAGAGTAATAAGATGAGTTATAACCAAAGCAATGGTGCCTGGATAGCGGGTTTTGTCTTGTTTGTTGGAGATTTGAATGATCAGGATCCCAAAGAGATGTGAAGAAGAGAGTGGCTTGTCTCCTTCCTTGGAGTTAAGAGCCAAAACAAATCAGCCCCTGATGGTCTGGGCTGCAATGCAGCTCACTGGATAATTAACTCCATCTTTCCAGTCCACCCTAACTGTTTATTTAGTGTCACCCTGCATTACCGTCGCTAGCACTTTCCTCTGAACAGGAGGAGCTGCAGGCTTTCACCTCCCAAAAGGAAATTCTTCTTAGCTTAGACAGATGCGGTACTCAGGATGTATGTTAGTTGAGAGAGAGGGAGGGGAAAGCTGATTGAAATCCAATGGAAGATAAGCTTTCTCCGGAGTTCTCCTTTTTGTAAACGTGCTCCAAAGTAAAGTTTAAAGGGGGGAGGGGCCAGTGTCGCCTACATTCTTAAGAAGTGATCGTGACACCTCATTTTCCAGAGAGGTGCTTTGCCACCTAATGTTGAATGGGAGCTTGTGGTTCAAACTCCCATTGGTGTTCCTAGGCTGAGCTTCCTCCCAGTGCAGCTCAGCTCTAGTAATCGGAAGAGAAGTGAGCAAAGATGGGGATGGGAAAGAAAGGTGGATGCTGAGTAGCGGTGGTGGGAGAACCTGGGACAGCAAGAGTGTAGAGTGAATGAATGAGTGACAGCAGAGGTGCGGGCAAAATGAGCCATCTTTCTTTGAGTAGCAGAGAGAGACCGAGACTCAGAAAGGCAGACCACACCTCCCAACCACAGGGGCCACGCAGCCCCTTTCTAACCCCTCTGTGCATTTTCAGTGTAAGGAGGGGAGGGGGCTGGGACAGGAGCTCAGATTGGTGGGGAACGGAGCTAGAATGTATGGGTTTGGAGGTGTCATATTCTATTTGTCCCTTTGTGTTTCTCGGGACAGCGTGGAGATTGAGATGGCATTTTCTGGCGCTACACGCGGTGGACCGAGGACAGAGTTTCAGGCGTAGGACTCCAGCTGGTTCTGTTTGTCCAGGTGTGGGAGGGGGCGGTGGTCGGCTGGCGTCCTGGGCCAGCCTAGGCTTTTCGCACTACGGAAGCAGGAGCCTCAGTCCCCACGCTTCCCGCTTGCAGGAGAAAGCCACCACCACCCCCTGCGTCCATACATAAATATATTAGGGCTACAGACAAATCCTCATTGTTCAGAAATAAGCCGAGGAGGCCGGACGGCTCCCCTCAGCGAGGCAGAACGAGGCAGAGAGGATGGGTGGGAAGGAGGGAGGCGGGGGCCTCGCGGATCCGGTGTCGCGTTGCAGATTCCCACTAAAGATAACGAAACGTGATCTATTTTTCAGAACAGCAAGTGGATGGGAAAGAACCTTGACAACACAAAACTCATTTACTAATGGACTGGTTTTGAGTTTCTCCTCCCTGGGTCCGCAAATCTCCCTTCCTGATCCCTTGGCCTAGTCAGTCCTCGCAGGCAACGGCGTCCTGCACAGGGCAGGTGGGAGGCAGCTCCAGTGCTTCGCTCAGAATCTGAACCTGGTTTCCAAGGACGTAGGGCACGAGCGGCTTCCGTTCAAGGAGAGGAAAAAGGTGAACATTGTTGCTTCAGCTCAGATTTGAGTCTCCGCACTGCTGCATAGAGATGACATTAATTTATTGAGGATGCCTCTGCCTTCCAGATCTGTAGGTAGGGTAGGAGTCCTTTTTAATGGTAGAGGAACTCCAAGAAACCCGGCTGGGAGTCTCAGTGCAACTTGTATCAAGCCAGGAGAAAAACAAGTAGGACCCAGATACAAGATTTTGACCCAAGGCCTATGTCGGCCCAGCAACAACCGACGTTTTCGCCCTGGCCTTTCGGCACACCCTTTGTGTACCTGGCTATTACCGACGCTGTGGAGGCACCAGAAGCCTCTCCCCCAGCGTCACCCTACTAAGCCCGGAAGCTGCCAGGACAGCAGCAAGCGGACTAGAGTGGTTGGGTTTCCTTTAAATCCCCGACGCATCTCTGCTTTTTCATGTGATTTGCATTGACAGCAAAGGTTTTATATTACAGAACAACTCCAACCTTTCTGTGCGCGATTTAAAATGGATCATTTGGTTTATGTGGTTTGTAAATTCATGTCATTTTACCTCTTTTAGTGGTTTTCAGTGAAAGGTTCCATTTGGGGAAACCTTATATATCCAAGCCAATAATTATCATTTATAACAATTGGTTCCCTTAACCGAGGGATCCAAATTGAAGGTAAGCTCCTTGGTACAAAGCGCACAGCACTTTCCTTTTTAGTTAAGTGATCTATTGGATTAAATGGGAGGGGGAAAAGGCTGGCCTGGCATGTCCAGCCTCCACCCCCACCCCCGCTCCCGCCTCTGCCTCTGAGAAAAACTACCTCAGTGCCAGTTATCACAGAACTTAAGCCACTCCTCTTGCCACTTGTCACCGGTGTCTGGTACAGTCATGATTCCTTTTGAACAGATTAAAAAAAAAAAAAAAGGCCGGGGTGGGGGATCTGGAGAATGCCAGGGAAATGGTAGCCCTACACTGTCCTTCTTTCTTGCTATCCTCTGTAAATGTATACCTGTAGTTATCTGTGATTTATACCTCCCTTTCTTACAAAGACTGTTAATTACTAATTACTCTGCACTCAACCTACCGTTTGTCTTTTAAGTGACAGTGTTTATAACCCTCCTCCCATTTTAATTGTGCACACTTGTTCCAGACATTAGGGTACTGATTTTGAGAGCCCAAATAAGCCCCCATTCTGGTCCTCACACAGCTGCCATGTCAATAAGGACTGTTCCAAGCAGAGACATTCCTCTTGGCAGGACACTGTCGTTCCTTAAGACTTCATCTGAAACGTCATGAGCACTAAAATAAGACAGCGAGGGAAAATTACCAGGCACATAGCCTAGGGCTCAGCAGTGCCAGTCTTCTAGTTCAGAAAGTAAGCCATTGGCCACACCATGTGGCAGGAGCTCTTTTGAAATAATACACACCCATTAAAAATTTTTTTAAATAAAAAAAGCCTAAATGTAATGGTTTAATTGCATGAAATAGCATGAGTTTCAAGGAGGCAGAAAACACGGTGTGGGAGCTCCTCAGAGCAGAGCCATTCTGTCTACTTGCAGTCTCTCAGGGGAAACAACCACGAGGTGGGAACCCTTTATGAGTTTGAAATACATGTTACAGGGTGCTTTGGACTGGGTGCATTATTTTTAAACTGTATAAATAACGCAAAGGGAAACCCTCCTCTCAGAGCTCAAAATGCAAAACACGGTTCTGTGGTGCAGTCTGTTTGGCTGATGAAATCAAAACACTGAAAGAAGACAAGCATGTTTAAAGAGCTCAGGGTTTGCTCCTGGCCATTCTCTAAGAGGGCACGCTGAAATCAAAAGCATTTTTGAAGTGTACTTAAAATTCTGTTTTGAACTTATCTAATCAGAGATAAGTATAGTCATAAAGTCACTCTCCTTCCACCATTTGGCTTCCCTTATCTCCACACATTGTTCTTATCTGCTCCCAGTCTTAGCTACTGACAATAGATTATCTTTATTTAGAGAGGCTAATTGTTTTCAAAATCTTTTTAATAATTGCTTTGGAACAAGGTGTGCAAATGAGGCTTAAGATAATTACAGCTTCATTTGTTTGTATAGTTTTACTAAGCATTCTCCTGACAGAAACAAAATAGCCGATGATGGGACTTAAATTGCAGGACACCTCTCGTTCTCTGGCAGCAAAATAGGCCAGCATTGCAACACACACCACGCATATCTCTCTCTCTCTCTCTCTCTCTCTCTCTCTCTCTCTCTCTCTCTCTCACACACACACACACACACACGCACACACACACACACACACTTTATTTAATCTTCTTGGAGCCACTGTGGTTCTAGCTTTGAGGGCAGTGTCCCTCTCAGAGCAGGGCAAGGATTATGTTACAGCGCGACGGTTATTGGAGCTGGGCACAGTTTTATTTAATTTACACCCCATCCAGAGCCTTTTGCATGAGGCTCCAAATACATTTTTGCTAATGGCAAGTAAAGCTTTTCGGCATTCATCAGTAACAGAGGTGGTGCAGAAAAAAACAAAACAAAAAACCCGCCACTGTGCAAATGTGGAAACTGAGTCCAGAAGTCTGTCGACTACGTCAAGATACTAAACCACAAACGAAGCACGGGTGTCTCTATCCAAACTCGGCTATTGTGCTACGGCCAACCCTTCTCCTGATGCCACGTCTGGAGGCACTTTGAGAAGGGGGGGGGGAATGCTGCCCAGATCAGAGTACCTTGCACCCTTTGGGTTAGAAAGGGGAAAGGGGGAGGAAATTAGGTTTGGCTCCTGGAGCTGAAGCGAAACCTGTGAGAAGCCACTCTCTGAGTCCCCGAAGCACAGAACCCTAGTCTGCTCCTGTATTATTTATCGCGTTCCATAAGCTATTCATCAATCCATTATTTATTCATCTCAACATTAAGGTAATTAAATATGAGCTCACCGGGAAAAGCCAAGACTGCAAAGGACAGGGATAGAAGTAAGGCGAAGAGGGTCATTAGAGAACGTCTGCAGTCATTGATTTGTGCAGGGATGCGCGAGGCTCCCCTTAGGTGACACCAAAGAGGGCGCCCGCTTTGCAAGGCCCTGACTTGCTCACCACCCTTTCCTGCACCCTAGTTCCCTCCTCCTGACCCCACCCTACTTCCCACCTCTCCCGGTCCTCCTCCTCCCACCACTTCTTACCCCCCACCAACTCGGCAGTTCACCCTCCCCACGCGGGCCGGCTGGGCGGCGCGGCTTTGCTGCCCGGCCGGGCGGCGCGCTGGCTGGCCAGCTTCGGATAGGCGCCGCCTGCAGCCAATCAGCGTGCCGGGGACGCTGCGCGCTTTAAGGCCGCTGCGGAGAGAACAGAAACCAAGTTCCCCGGCAACCAGCAGCATCCACCCGGCGGCAGGCGGGAGCCAGATAGGCCCGGAAGGCTGAGGAGTGCGCCAGCCACTCGGAGTCTAGCGCGCCCCTACTTCTCTTGGTCTTCCTACGCCTCCCACCCTCAAGCTCCGACTAGTCTCTGCTACTGCGCCAACCCTGGGAGGGGGTTAGGAGCAGCCGCGCCCCCCTCCCCGCGGCAGCCGCTCCCCCCCCCTGCTTTTTCAGATTCGCTCACTGCCGCGTGCGCCCGGGCCGGTGCGCCCAGGCAGCGCCAGCCATGTCGATGCTGCCGTCGTTTGGTTTTACGCAAGAGCAAGTGGCGTGCGTGTGCGAGGTTCTGCAGCAAGGAGGGAACCTGGAACGCCTGGGCAGGTTCTTGTGGTCGCTGCCCGCCTGCGATCACCTGCATAAGAACGAGAGCGTGCTGAAGGCCAAGGCGGTGGTCGCCTTCCACCGCGGCAACTTCCGCGAGCTCTACAAGATCCTGGAGAGCCACCAGTTCTCGCCCCACAACCACCCCAAACTGCAGCAGCTGTGGCTGAAAGCGCACTACGTGGAAGCCGAGAAACTTCGCGGTCGACCCCTTGGTGCCGTGGGGAAATATCGGGTACGCCGAAAATTCCCGCTGCCGCGAACCATCTGGGACGGCGAGGAGACCAGCTACTGTTTCAAGGAGAAGTCTCGGGGCGTGCTGCGGGAGTGGTACGCGCATAACCCCTACCCCTCGCCGCGGGAGAAGCGGGAGCTGGCCGAGGCCACCGGCCTCACCACCACCCAGGTCAGCAACTGGTTTAAGAACCGGAGGCAAAGAGACCGGGCTGCCGAGGCCAAGGAAAGGTACGCGGCATGCTAGCCCAGCCCCGGGCGACCCCGAGAAGTCCCACCCTTCGTCCCTTTCTGTCCCCTTCCCCCTCCCGCAGGCATCGCTCCGGAGCCGGTTCCCGGCGGCGGAGGCCAGAGGTCCGTGGGGCGGCGCCCCGATCTCGGGCGACGCTTCAGTGAAAGTTCACGAACTCTCGAGGTCGCCTGCTAGGGACTGGGCCGCCTTTGCGCTGAGCACCCGCGCATGGGTTTCTTTGGTGGGGAAAAGTGTCGGGAATTGTTGGCTCTGCGTTTGTCGTTCCTGCCTTCCTGGCTGGCTGCGGCGAAACGAGAGGGTGGCCGGGGAGTTTGTAGATCGGAGGGAAGGGGTGTATTGTTTGGTATCGGCATAGGAAGCCTGTTCGTGCGGCGGAGGGTCTCGAACTTCCGCCCTTGAACCCCGGCTTGAAGCTGACCTGAGACGTCCGCTCAGTCCCCAACGCCTCCGGGCTCTTTACTCGCTCTCTCTGGCTAGTGTATGGATGAGAGTCCATTCCGCATCAGTTGGACAAAGGGAGGAGTCTCGGGAAGAAATACCCTGAAAAGAGAGCTCTGGGGGAGTCGCTAGTGGGTGTCCTCTCAGAGGCTCCAGCCGGGAGATGACTGCCGCCTGCCGCGCTCCCTCGTGCCGAGCCGGGTTGCTTTCTCTGGCTCCGCCGTCGCCGCGGGAGAGGAGTGGAGCTCTGGTCGCTGGCTTCTCCCGTCCTGGAGCTCCGAAGCAAAGCTTTGGGGGGCGAAAACGGGGGGCTGTTTCTGCTCCCCCATCCTCGCGCAGACACGGCGGCGGTTAGGCCGGGGCAGTTCTCTGCCGAGCTTCTGGCCGAGGTTTGGAGGCGAGCGGGGCAGCCAGCGACGAGCGCAGCACCGAGCAGAGCTGATGGTCTGGGGCATCTGGGAGCAAGGCCCCTCACACACTGTCCTTTGTTCGCCGGCAGCCCGGGGGACGAAGATCTAGCTTCTACGTTCCCTTCTGGGTGGGAAAACACAGAGCCTGCCTAAATTCCGCCTAAATGGGCTCTCCTAGAGAGACTTTGCGGGCAAGGGAGGGTGCAGACGGGCAGGCGCTGGCGAGGGGTGGCCGCCGGCCCTCGGCGCTCGCTCGGAAGGCGGAAGCTGCGAGTAGGCAAGTCCAGAAGTTGACTGGGACGGAGTGCGGGGACTGAATCGGCAGTGCGGGGCCCATCAGCGCCCAGCTGGGGTGGGGCGGCGAAGTTTTTCATGCTGTGAAAGGGTGGGAGCCTAAGGATTGTTGGCGTTGGCGAGCAGCTAGAAGGGAGGACAGGGGGAGCTGAGACACGAATTAGGAGCAAAGGAACAGATTGCATGGTTGCAGCTAGCCTTTAGTTTATAAAAAACGGCCGGTCTCTGAAGCCAAGCAAGGGCCCACTCCTGGATGAAATCCGAGAGACTGGCTAAGCTCCCTGTGTTTACTCAGGTCACTGGGCCGCTCTGGGCACGACTTCCCATGACCTGTCCTAGGTCTCTGAAACCCCAGTCTCCAGACAGCGGCCGGGAAACTGGTCATCTAATTGCTTCCTCAGATGCTGGTAGGCCATTGACTTGGGTCACCGCAAGCATTTGTGCATTGGGCAGTTTGTCTCCCAATCATTTCTTTATCGCAACAGCCGTTTGTCGGAGGGCTTCCAAACAGTTAGTTACTTAGGTGCACGGGGCTAGTTGATAGGCACTTAAAACATAGCTGCTTGGACAAAATTGAAAACACATTTTTGGGGACTTATTTTAAATAAACACTGCTCATCTGACTTTGAGGAGTACGGAAGAAACGTGGCTAGGTCCAGGCAGCAGGCTCCCCATTTCTCTAGTCGGCCTCTTCACCTCCCCCATGACCCTTGGGGATGGGTGGGAGGCAGAGATCCTCCATTTGGGTGGTGACAGATTGCACAATGGACGGCCCTTTCCTCCTGCCAGCCCCCCTCCCTTCACCTCACACTTTTTTTTTTTTTTAACCATATGGTGTTGTCCTCTATTTCTCAGGGAGAACACTGAAAACAATAACTCCTCCTCCAACAAGCAGAATCAACTCTCTCCTCTGGAAGGGGGCAAGCCGCTCATGTCCAGCTCAGAAGAGGAGTTCTCACCGCCCCAAAGTCCAGACCAGAACTCGGTCCTTCTGCTACAGAGCAATATGGGCCACGCCAGGAGCTCAAACTATTCTCTTCCGGGCCTAACAGCCTCACAGCCCAGCCATGGCCTGCAGGCTCATCAGCACCAGCTCCAGGACTCTCTACTGGGCCCACTCACCTCCAGTCTGGTGGACTTGGGTTCCTAAGTGGGGCGGTCCTGGGGCCTTGAAGGGACGGCTTGGAGAAGCAACCAACCGCAACGACTAGGGACACTTGTACATAGAAGTCAGGAACAATTTTGCAGCTTGTTTCTGGGGTCCTTTGCGCATAAAGGAATGATGGGCTTTCACAAATGTCTTTTTAAAAACTACAACCAACACCGATCTCAGTTGAGCATAGTCTCCCTCTCCTCTCTGGCTCTTAACCCTGTTGCATTTCCCCTCCCGCTGAAAGGTCAGGAAACAAAAGCACCTAGTCTTGGTCCTGGGCAACCCAGGCATCCATTTCAGTAGCCTCTTCTTTCTCCTCCTCCTCTTCGTCTTCTTTTAGTGAAGAAAAAGTTCACATCAACTGGATTTTAGTTATTTGCTTTTAATTTATTGATGGAGACATGGTTTAGGGAAGAGGAAAAGGAAAAGAAGAGGAAGAAGAGAGACATATCAAAAATACCGAAAACAAAAACCCTCCAGGCTGAGAGCGGCTGGCTGCAGTCTTAAGATGAATAGGAAAAGTATAATCATAACCGGTTTTGATGGGAAAATTAAGTTTACATTTTCACATTTAGTGTTAAATAATTTTATGTAGATTAAAATGAAAGAACAGTATTAGTGAGGAAAACAAGTGCCTAAATGTCTTGATGCTGTCTGTGTGAGGCGGTTAGAACTAGAAGAGACATTAGTAATACAACTATTTTTGTCAAATTTAGTGGGATTTTTTTTGGGGGGATTGATTGTGTTCTTTTTCTTTTTCCCACGACAAACTTTAAAAGTGTACCAACAAGGGAGGGGAAGACACTTACCCCAAATGTCCTCACTTCTGCCCTCAGGACTTTCCTACCGGCAGGCTGCCTCTGCTAAGAGGCCTCGATCTCCACTTTCTACTTGCAAAAGGGTACCAACCAACCTGGCAACCTGGTAGTTGTTACTAAAACGGCACGCGTCTCTAGGCTTCTTTTCTATTGTACCCAAACCGGTCTAAATTAAACTCAGTAGACCACCAGGAGTTTGATTCTGTTTCTGAAAAAGGTGAGTCGTGCATTCTGTCATTGGGCCTATTTAAAAACAAGTCTTCTTGCTTACTTAGTAGTAGTTATGAACTGCAGGGTATTTTTGAAGTCTATTACCCGGAACCAAGAATATTGGCTAGGTTAATGATATGACAAAAGAGAAGAAATGTAGCCTTGGGTATTTATTTATTTTTATTATTTAGAAATGCAGTTTTGTTTACCACTGTTTCTTCTCCACAGCATTCATATGTTAACTTGGCTCTTCTGTGTTAACTAACACCTTATGAAAGGACTGTGAAAGTAAAAGTAATTTATCTGCTTTTTTTTTTTTAAAAAAAGGGAACTCAAACATGGCTTTAAAATTATGAATTAATCCAGTACAAATAAAAATCAGGCCACCAGGAGCTCTTTTCTCAGATAGTGTCCAGAACAATCCCAGTAATCAAGAAGGCTCCATGTTCTTTTTTGCCTGGGGCAAAATGATGTATCTTCTGTATTTAGCATTTAAGGCTAGTGAAACAAATGGCATTATTTATTAAAATTCTACTCAGGATAACAGGATTGGCTTGTTTGTGCTCTGTAAAATATTGTTCCCCAGGGAGAGTCTATTTATTTCCTGACATGACAGTTTCGTAATTTTGATTTTTCCTCATCTATAAATGTCAACATTAATATATTTCTTTCTTACCTTTCTCTATTGTTCTTGACCCGAGTGAAATGAGGTGTATATGTGTGTGAACTTAAGGACTTCCTGTCATGAGTTGTTTTTTTTTTTTTTAAGCTGTTTTCTAATTGTTTTGCGTTTAAAAGAGAAATGGTCACTGTGCTTTTAAAATATAGTCACTTTTACTTATAAAGTCATTTTCCCTTGGTGATGGACAGATGTGCACACAGCCGCTCAGAGACCATCATTTGGGCTGGGAGCTCCGGGTCCCAATCTCCCTTGTTAGTGTTTTGGATCATTAAGTCGGTGTTTATTTAAGTCACTAGGGTGTTTATTCTCCACGTCTTGGGCCACGGAGAAATGCCACCCTCTGCAGGAGGGGCTCTCACAGGGAATCTCCACACATTCTTCACATTCACTCCCCAAAACAAACACCCGGCACAAAGATAGCTTTCAGTGACCCTGACAGGCTTCAAAAGAGACCGCGGAAATCTCCCTGGAAAATAAGGAAGGGCCAATTACTTTAATTTCTTACATGCCCTCGCTTCCTACTCCGGCTACCCCCTACTCTTGCAACTCCTCTTGGCATAATTTTAGAGTCGTGGAAGCTCTGTCTCCCAGGGGCGCCGGCCCACTTCCTGCTGGTTTGGTTGGTGGATCTTGGAAAAGTCTGCAGGTCTGGCTAGCAGCTAAGACGGCGGGTCCTGTAAAAGCCCCGGTGATTACTGCTTGTAAACTCGTTAAAAGGACAGTTTTCTGTCATAGCCATAAACTCTTTGTAAAATCCCTGGCACTCGATCCAGAATGTGCATATTCCAGATGTGTTTAATAAGAAATTGCACAATCTGCCTCTCCCCGCCATCCTCTGCTCAGTCTGGCTAAGAGCAGGACAAGCAGGAGGAGGCGAGAAAGCTGGATATCGCTCTGAGTTTTCTTGGCAACCGTTTTAGAGCGATCATTGGGGGGGGGGACTAACTATATTTTTTTTCCCTCGAGGAAATCTTCGAGAAGCAGCTGTTGAGGGGCATCCAATTTACCTTTACGGAGTCAAAGTTTAACCGAATGTGGAGGCACTTTTCGTTTATCCTCCGCAGATTTCAAAGAGATAGCCAAAAACAGTTGCGCAGCCTGTTATTAAGAAAGTGATTTTAGGACGGAATTTCAAGGCATTTGCCCAAGCGAGATTAAAAAAACCAAAACCCACCAAATCGAGGGATGATTTCTAAAACGTCTTTAATCTCAATACAAGGTCGCTGGGATCCGATCCGACAAGTCTTCTCATGACCACTTGGCAGAGAAAGATGCTTCCTAAGTTTTCAGTCGAAAGGGTTTGGCAGCCGGTTCCTAACTTAGCAGGTAGGGATTCAAGAACCTGGACTCAAAAATCACCGGAGCTGGTAGCTGTAGGTATTGAATCTATTTTCTAGGCAAGGACAGCTTGGTCTTCATCTTGAGATAGCGTGTGAGCTTCAGTGGAACTGTGCTGGTGGGCTAGGTCCAAGTTTGCCAAGCCTTCACTCCGGGTCAGTTTGCTTTTCCTGAGGTCCCTCTGAGCGCTAGGCACAGTACCCCAGCGCAGTGGCCCTCCCTCCCGCCCTGCACCAGGGCTTGCAGAGGCTGCATTCTTAGCGGCCTCCCACGCCTGAAGGTCCTTCACGGGGCCCACCGGCAGGGCTCCAGACCCAGAATTAAAAGGCTCGTGGCCTGTTCTTCTTCGACTGCAGAGAACTGGAGGGAGCATCTGTCATCTGGTCTCTTGGAAGGCTGTTGATGCCTCTCTGCACTGAGGAGGCCAGGACAGTCCTGGAGCACCACTCTCTCGGCAGCTTCTAAGAGAATCACACCTGTCTCAGCACCCCGATCTTATGGCGCCTGGGGTCTGGTTCAGGGCCTCGGTGAAGTCCCTCAGAGCAGAGGAGGCCAACCTAGCCTCAAGGGAGAGGGCAAGGCCTTGGGTTGAGCCTTCTGGGACAACGCACCAGTTGTCATCCTGGGCATCAGGGTCACCTCCCAGACTCAAGGCTCAGCCTCCCTGTAGAGTTCCTAACACTTGAGTGGACACTCCCTGGCATGGTGACACCTGCCCTTGAAGTGGGGTAGGTCTTCAGGCTGCAGGAGGCTCCTAGGGCAGGTGTCAGCGCTCTGAGTTTCTATGCCCTCCACAGTCTGCTCTGGCCCTGAGTCTCGCCTCCTGCTACCGCGGGCCTGGCGGCCCATTCCCCAGCGGCCCTTCCACCAGACTGGGTCCTTGGCTTTGTCTCTGTGACCCACGCCTCGAAGCAGTGCCAACCAGGGAGATGGCCAATCTCTAAGGCTGGGGAGTGCTTTCAGCACAGCTCGCTTGTGGGGGTAGGGGAGCTGGGGTAGGTAGGTGCCTCTTCCCTTTGTCCAGTCCCGGACCGGAGGGAAGGCACCAGCCCAGCTATGCACCATTCCTGGCTCTGGCTGTTGAAACACACAATCTACCAGATTTTATAGAGATGGATGGTTTTGACAAGCACAGGTGGGTTATTCCTTTTTCAAACCTTTCTCCTGGAAGGTTCTAAAAACTCCTAGACCACCTCCTCCAGCGGTCTAAAGCCAGAGGGACCAGTGTCTGCGGCCACCACTTCTCAGGAGCATTTTGCATTGAGGGTCCCTGAGAACTTAGTTTCATAGGCTGCAGGCAAGTAGGGAACCTCAAGTTCACAGAGACTCCTTTGCAGGTCTGACAGGGTCCAGAAAATCCACCTGAAAACATCTCTAAGAGGGGAATAGATTAGGTAAGAGGTAGGTGAACCAGCCAGGAACAAAATTTATAAGAATTATATATGAAATGTTGGCTTTTTTTGCAATGTCCTGCAAAGGCCTTGTTTTCTTGTGCGTTTTAAACTCAACACACACACACACACACACACACACACACACACACACTTCTTTCCAGCTGATGAAATTGGAAACCTGTTCTCCTACTGAGGATGACAATCAGGGTTTTAGACGCTGTGGTCTTTCAGACAGTGAGAAACAACACCGCAGTAGCTTTTAAAAACAAAGAAAATGAGACTTCTGGAGGCGCGTGGAAAGCCGCCTGTTCTCCAATCCCTCCCTCACATCTCCTTTTAACGTGTTGATGGACAGCTGAGACCCCGCATACTCAGCAGGTATAGTACAATCTCACACTGCTTTTAGGAAAGGTACTCACTATTCTCTGCTACCCCGATACAAAAATATTCTCCATGGCCAAACAGAACAATGTAGGAGAGAAACGAAAACGAAAAACCAACCGTCAAAACCAAGTCTTATTATTGAAAAGGGAAATAGGTTACCTTTAGATCTTACTTATACTTCAGTGTGCCTGAAGTGGCCACTCGGTTGTAGTTTAAAATGTGGAAAGATACTGAGCGTTTTTCCTTCTTCCTCATCATTCGTGATTGCCATTGAATGAAAAATAAGGAGAGAGAGAGAGTCTGGGCCTTCATATACTAATACAGCCCGAAAATTATGCCACCTACATCTATCTGGCCCCCCTTCTGCCCTTCTCTCAAAAATAAAAAACAAAATCCCAAATACTCAATGAGACTGACACAGGTAGAATAAAATACGAACACCATGGACTGACAGCCAAATTTATTTTGATGTGCCATACAAGTTAGTTTAATTTGGGACTTCAAATGGATTATGCCTTTTAAAATACCATGACATTCATAACAGAAACAACTTTGGAGGGGGAGGTGGGAAATTGGCGGTGGTTCAGGATCTGAGCTGATGTCCTCCTGGGACTTAAAAATAGTCCCAGGTTACATTATTTTGAATGACACAAGATATCTCGTCTTGAGATTCTTACATGGATTCACTCATGGAGAGAGTCAATGTCCTTGATAATCTGTAGATTCCAGGCAGCATGTCTGTGAAATTGATTTTTTAGTTGTTGTATTGACATTAAGATTTTTTTCAAACTCCACCACCTTCTACACACACACACACACACACACACTTTTTCCTTTTGCCCTCAGCCAAGGCTTTAGCTGCTTTGCTAAAATTTCTAATTTGACTTTCCAGTCACCTAAGTGATTTAAATACTAAAAAAGGACAAAGGGATTCTGACCCCTGCCTTACCAGAGAACAAAATAAAACAACCTAACACACCAA